TCAACTATATATATTAATAGTCTCATATATATATATATATATATATATATATATATATATATATATATATATATATATATATATATATATATATATATATTTATATATATTTATATATATATATATATCATAATGATGTCAGTGTGTTTGACTTTTATTTAATAAATTGTAGAATGTTTTATTTTATGTTCAACAAATGTAATTAATTATTTGCATAAAAAAACAAATGTAATTAACTATTAAACAAAAATATATAAATTATATAAATTACATAATTTCAAAAATAGATTATTTTACCTAATATATCTATATATATATATCTATATATATATATATATATTAAAATCAGTAAAAATAATATCTAAATCAGTAAAAATAAGTTTATTTCAGTAAAAATAATTTCAGTTTAGTAAAAATAACTTCAGTTTAGTAAAATAAGTTCAGTTCAGTAAAAATAATTTCAGTTTAGTAAAAAATAAGTTCAGTTCAGTAAAAATAATTTCAGTAAAATTCAGTTTTAATCAGTAAAATTCAGTTTTAATCAGTAAAAATAATTTCAGTTCAGTAAAAATAATTTCAGTTCAGCAAAATTAAGGTGAAGTGAACGGGGCCTAACTTGCGCGTAATTTTGTCATGCATTACTAAATTAATATCAAATTGAAAAAAAATATTAATTGTTTTTTCTGAGCACTTAGGGTTATATATATATATATATATATATATATATATATATATATATATATATATATATATATATATATATATAGCATTACCCTAAAACATTTTTAAAACAAACAAAACAGTAGCCGTTGATTAATTTTAGATGGAGTGATGAAATTTATATGTGAGGGTACAACGTATGCTCTAAAACTCGGTCAGTGACATGACATGACACCAACAAAACCTAATTTTAAAACTAATTTAAAAAAAAAACGTTTCCATCTATAGATTTGATGCAATTCAAGCTACAGCAACAAGAGTGAAGGTGAAACGTTTTTAAAGAGAACTGTTGAGTGAAAACTTAATTTTCTTTGTAAAGCACGACAAAAAGGATTAAAAAATGATAAAACCTCCTTTACAAACATACAATCATAAAAATTTGTAAAATTTCATTTTTCCTAAATACTTGGCGATCATACCTCAAATTTGTTGGCCTTGGGACAATTTTTTTTTTCTCCCTAAAAATTTCCTTTTATACCACTCAATTATTATAGTGATGTCTGTTTGTTTTATTTTGTTATAACTTATTTTATCTTATTTTAAAAATATAATATTTTAGATTGTTTTAGATAAAATAAAATAAAATAATTTCAACAAAGTTCAAAATTTTCAAATATAATAAGTTCAGTCAAATAAACTGCGACAAAATTATTTTAGATAAATTAAAAAAAAAGTTTAGGTAAAATATAATAAAAAGTTTATATAAAATAATATAATTTTAGATTTTCACACAAAATCGAATGATATAATTTTAGAATAATATAATGTTAAGGTGGATGTGTGGGAATACTCTAAGAGATAGAATCAGAAATGAGGTTATTCGCATGAAAGTAGGTGTGGCAGACATTGCAGATAAACTAAGGGAAAATCGTCTGCGTTGGTTTGGGCATGTAAGACGGAGACCCGAAGGTGCACCGGTGCGAAGAGTGGAAGAGTGGGACCATGGAGGGGTTAAACGAGGGAGAGGGAGACCGAAAATGACTTGGTTAGAAGGAGTTAGGAAGGATATGAAGTGTATGGATTTGCATGAGGATGAAGCATTGGATCGTAAAAAATGGAGGAGGAAGATTTATGTCGATGACTACACGGAATAATCAAATTTGATTCATGTTAGCCGACCTCACTTATGGAATTAAGGCTTTGATTAATTGATTGATTGACACAAAATCGAATGAATCAAACAAAGCATTAGACCACACTATTTTAGGGCTTGTTTATTTTTGTTTTTTGTTTTTAGTTTTAAAATTAGTAACTTATTTAAAATTATTCAAAATACTTGTTTTATTGAACGAGATTCTTTATAGTTTATTCTATCATCTCTAGCTCATCCAAAAGACAACTTTTTAGAATGTTAATGAATTCCTAAAACTAGCTAGCTATATCGTGTCTTCTAACAAGAAAATCAATCTAAATTTAAGGTGCATTTTATTCACCTGATTTTTACTTATTTTAACTTATCGATACTAGTCTTATCTTATTGGAATGAACTTATATATCTAAACTTACCTTAACTTAATTACATGAATTTAAATTACAGGAACTTGCCTAGTTATAAATTGAATAAAAAAAACTCTCATTAGACCTTATTTGAACTTATTTTAACCTGTTATTCAAGAAGTTAACTAATATGAAATTATTAATCTTTATATGACCTTATAATCTTGAAATATATTTTGAAAAAGAATGTGAATAGAACATTATCTTTTGAAAACTTAAAGTGACTAGAGTTTTGTGAGATCTTGTTCTCTTCACCTTAAATTAATGTAATATTTTTAAAAAAATATTTCAATTCACCAAAATAATTTTAGTTCAATAGTAGTTAAAATCAATTCAATTCAGCAATTAAAATTCCAGTTCGATATAAATAAGTTTTGATCAATAAAAATCATTAAATTTAAAGAAAAAAATATTAGAGATTCAATAAAATAAGTTTTAATTAGTAAAAATAATATGTTCAATATATAAATAATTTAATTTAAGAAAAATTAATTTCAATTTTGTAAAACATGAGTTCAATTTAACAAAATTAAGATGCCTTCTTCATTAAATAATAGTATCTTGTAAAAAATAATTTTAGTTTAGTAAAAATAAGAACCGTTTAGCAAAAGTAATTTCAGAGTAATAAAAATATTTTGTAATCAATAAAATTCAATAGCTTTAAAGAATAAATTAGATAAAAATCAACAAATACAATTTGGGTATTGGTAATTTGGTAGACGTTTAATAGACTACCCATTATTTATGTTTTGTAATAGTAAATACAATTTATTAATTAAAAAGTCGTACTACAGTTACACACACAAAAAAAAAAAGAAAAAAAAAAAAAGAAAAATGAAATGAACAAATACATAATCAATTTAATGAAATTTAAATTACATATTATGGCATCTCAAGTCTCAACTTACGAGGGCACAGTTAAACTTTGAAAGATTTAATGGATATTCACTATAGAGTTAGCTAAGTAACCTTCATATTTGTGTCTAATTCCATACCGATTAGTAGGGTGTGTTCTATTCACCTAATTTTCACTTATTTTAGTTGTAATTTATACTTAGGTAACCCTTATCAGAACTTATTTATCTGAACTGAACTTATTTAAACTTATATGAACTTATTACACCTGAAATAAGTGAAAATTAGGTGAACAGAATAGGCCCGAAGAAATATTATATTTTCCATTGCAAATTTATGAAAAACATAAATCCTTGCTAAGAGTTATTTATTTACTATGTAGATATATTCGTTTTTTATTTATTTGTATGAAATAGTAGTACATTGATAATATTATTATTCTTGTCTTATTATATTTTGTATATATCTATACTTATTTAAAGATACAGTAATGTTGGATTTAAAACGTGTAGATTGTTTATGTCTTGAAATGAATTGAGTATAAATGTTGAATTGCTAATTATATTTCTAATCATAGGACAGAGTATAAACAATAAATTGTCTAGCTATGAAAGTTTACAGACAAAGAGGCAAACAATGTGGCGGTTTACTTATTTATTTATTTTATTTATCTATTTTTTTATTTTATGTGGTTGATTCGCACCAAAAAAAACTTTCATATCTCATGTTAATAAGGAGGCAATGTTTTTGCCCATTTCATTGCTAAATTTAAATTTAATCATGTAAGTGAACTAGTTTGGATTTAGTAATATAGGATAAGCCCAATCATTTACAAAGCTTATAAAAGTCTTAAGTCTCTTTGCCATTGGTCATAACTTCAATTAAACCATAAAATAAAAAAAATAAAAATTTATTACAGAGTATAAGATGTCCATGAATTTTTTAATTGGCTAATCTCGAGGTGATTAGTTGTGATCTATCAAGTGATCCTGAATTGTTAATTTAATGAAAAAAATTAGTGATCATATAAAAATGTAGGACAACAAACATACGTTTGTTTTTTGTAAGAAAGGAATCAATTGGGAACCACAAACAAAGTTATGTGACAATTAATAATCAAGTATTAAGAATTAAAATATGCTTTTGCTTAAAACATCATTTAGCTAATCTAAAACTAAACAACTGAAAACACTTACCAGGCCAGTACATATATTAACATATAATTGTATAAATTGTATACATTAAAGATTATATTATTTTTAGATTAATTATATAAAAAATAAATGAAAAAAACAATGAGTTAGGTTTGTCATGTATATTAAAATCAAGATCATCATAGCATTGTTAAATGTTTAAAACAAAGAGTAAGAAAGATTGTGAATGTTGAAAATTATAATATTTAAATACCATCTTCTTACTATATTAGAGTAATAAATCTATAAGACATATGATTGAGTAAATTAAAAAAAATAAATAAATAAAAAGAAAAAGAAAGAATAATCAGGCAAAAAACCAGCAAAATATAATAAATTAAAAAAAATTAAGAAAAAGATGGTTCAAAGAACATTAACCACGAAGTAAGGAATGCATGAAATTAAGTGCAGAAAAATTAATTATTATTATTATGAGCATCATCAAAGTTATACAGATTTTCAGGAAATTTCAAATTCCTAAAATTAATGAAAAAACAGCAAGACAAGCATTTAAGAATTTTGAGCACTCCCACACTAATATTGCTTCTATCAATGAAGCTAAGGATTCCTACCAGTAACACTTAATTATTATAATTAATTATTTCAAATATTTCAGTCAAATTTGTTATTCAATTCAAAAAGAACTAAGGTAAGAGGGTTTCAAGAATTTTTTGTTTTTAATTTTTTTTTTCCTTATAAAAAAAAAACATGTTTTTTGTTTTGTGAGATTACATGTAAAAGCTGAACCCTAGTCTAGAATATAGAGAAACATTAAAATTTACAAGAAAAATAAAAACTATCATCATCACCAAGAGAGCATAATAAACCCTTTCAATTCTTTGCTTGCTTTTCTCATCATTTCCTCGTTTCTATCTTTCTCTCACTATTAATTAACATCAAATCATACAAGTAGTGCTTCATATATATATGTATCTTTGACATGACTAATTTACCTGAAAATAAACCAATCTATGTCTTGATGAATATCATTATTCTTGTTAAAAGGGAGGGCGACCACCATGAGTCCAACCATAGGCTTCATGGTTAAGTTGCCCACCACCACCGCTTGCTCCTCCGCCGTTTGGGAGTAGATTAGGGGGTAAATTGTACATTCCTAAGCCAGAAGACGGATCTCCTCCCATACCTTGTTGTTGCTGTTGATGTTGTCCTGCAGGAGGGGATCCTGACGCGCCACCTGTAAGTTGTCCGGGTTGCTCGTCTTCTTGTTCCTCTAACGGGAGCCGCTCATATGTGGCGTTGGAGAATGTGGCGGCGATGACCATAACAGGTCCGGAGGCAATAAGTGGTCCCACAACACTCCCACCAACTACTTGGCCTTGTCCACCAGCCAGGTACACAGTAAGCCCCGTGGAGCCAGGTGGAGCAGGCCCTGGTAAAAAGGCTCCTGTGAGAGACAAGATCTCAAACCGGCCATGTAGGGCAACAACCGTAGGCCCGCCTGGCCCCGCCGAGGGTTGACGTATTGTGACGCCAGTGACGGCACCTGCAGCAGAAAGCACACAGACACCTCGCTGGCGTCGGCGGGCAAAGTTGGCGATGCTTTCTGCAACGTCAGCTCCGCCCGCCACCTCCATAACATGTGAACGGAGCGCATTCGGGCTATCCCGGGTAACAAAAATCGGTGGCTTGGGCTTATTTTTGGAACCGGGAGGACGGCCCCTTGGCCGTCTATTCGGTGCCTCGACCGCCCCTTCCCTCGGCTCATCACTGTTTTCTCTATCCTCCTCCTCGGCCTGGTGGTGATGATGATCAGCTCCCATAGAAATCCCTAGATCTGGCTTCCCCTTCATCCCAGATGAAGTTGACTCCAAACCTTGCAGCCCAACTTGACCCGTCCACCACGGATTCGCCATCTTTCTCACCAAATAAATCAAAAGCCCTTCACAACTATGCTACCTTTCTTTCCTATACTCAAGCTAACTTCTCTTCTTTTCTCACTTTTTCAGATCTTCCTTAAAATTACCTAGTAGTAATAATAGAGCTCAATCCATCAAAAAGATCAAGATAAAACTCACACGATCAATTTCTCTCTCTCTCTTAGTCTTTTGATGTTGGTATAACTATTTTCTTTGTTTATTGCCACCCCCTCAAAACATATAAATAAATCTAATAGGATGACATATATATCATAGGATGGATCAGTTAGAAAGTCTTCCTGCTTATCAGGTGGTAGAGGAACCAAGTATACTTTGGCGTTTCTTTTCAGTGTTTTCTTTTTCTTTTATTTTTTCTCTCTCCTTTTTTTATCATAAAAATAATTATATTTTGTAATAATCTAATATGCGCTAATAATGAAAATGGATAAATAATTGAGTTGTAGTAGCAAGAAGTATGCTGCTTGTTATGTCAAGGTTATGGGAAACCTAGAAAATGAAGGCAATTAGTCATTCCATGTTCGAAATTTGTTTTTGATTTTTTCGCTGACTTTTTTGTTACCATGTCTTCCACCTAATAAAATAACATTGTTTTAATCTGTAGGAATGATAGAAAACAAAATTGATATATAAAGCCCTAAGTACTACTAATAAGTAACAAGGAGTTAAGAAAGTAATAATAAATTACATATACATTAATCAGTGTGTGGCTAGCTCAAGCGATACATTGGATTTTACCTATGAATATCAATAATCATTATTTGATCTATAATATATAAACTATAATAAATGAAACTAAATAAGCGTTCTCAAATTGATGTTCAGTACAAAGTATTTAGTATATTATAGTTGAATATAAAGCATAACAAAAAAATACAGAGTAGCAAAGATGGTTGAATATTAATTCATTTTGTAAAATACTTATTTGTAGCTAGCCCTATGTAGAGTAGTAAAAACCCAACCCATTCAAAAAAATTAATGCAAGCTCGATCACTACCCGACTTGATTGAAGCTGAGAATTTGGTAACTAGAACCCAATCACGAACTAACCTAAATCAACTCGACTCGAGTTAGCCTAAAAAAATTTATGAAGATGCATGGACTGATCTAGAGATGATCAGAACCAAATATAATTCGCAAATTATAAATTTGAATTAAACCAAACCCATACCCAAGAAACACCCAAACCTCATGTATTTCGTTGAAACCTAAATTGAATTCAACCCATCTAACATTGCATGTTACTACCTCAACCCTAATTCAACCCGATTTCGAGTTGCTATTTGTAATAATAACCCAAATTGTATTGGTCATCTCGACTTAAATGTAACCTAGACAACCTTGACTTCATACAATTTCACGTTCCTCTAATCCTCTCAAAAAAAATTCTGTTAGGAATATATATATCATTCTCTATAGTATAATATGTACATGTATATGGGATATAAGCCATACAAGTTGTGTCAAACCCATGACTCGTTCATGAAATAATTGCAAATCTTACAATTACCCATTGAGGAAATAATGATAGAATTTGTGAGTTTTAAAAAACAGGACATTCAATGTGAATTACAATTACCCAGTGAGGAAATAAGATCATAATCAAACACACAATAATAATGACTCGATCAAACCGTACTAGCTAAATGACTTAAACTTAATTAACCCAAACTTAACCCGATCTATCAATGTCCCAATCTAAATGAAAAATGTCCTGAACTTGATAGCCAAAAATAACATGCTACAAACCCAAATCAAAACCTAACCAAGTCCACCTGAATCTAAATTGAACCACTTAAACTTAATGATGCATGACTACTATTTGACGAGACCTTATCCGATCCAAAGTTGACCCAACCAAAACCTAACCTGTATAAATATATCTATTATTCTGACAAAACCCGATCTGAGTTTGACATGACCTACATTGACCTGAGCCTATTTAATTATCCAAATTGATAGCTCGAGCCCTAAGGAAACAATTAATGCTTACATACCAAAACAAAACAAAAAAAAAAAAAAAAAAAAAAAAAAAAAAAGGGTGGACCAAAATTTTGAGAATAGGGTCGCGTGCGCGTGAGGAGGTGGAGCGCACGTCGTTGTCTCGTACTCCGACATCTCAACGGATGGGGATAATTGCCTAATTTTTGGTGTAATACAAAATGAGAATTTTATGCTTTTTCTAATTAAACATAGGAAATAGGATTATATTATAGATAATATATACTCGGAGTATATATTATATGCTATAATTCTGACTTTTTTGTACTTGTTTAATGACTAACAAATTGTTTTCCTGATTGATTGGGTGTATATTAAGGGGCCGTTTAGTTCGCACAAGGGAAATAAAAATGGAATGCGGAAAGGGAATAGAGGAGAATGGAATGAAACCCTCAAAATTAAGCATATTGTTTGTTTAAAAAAAAAATAAGCTAGCCAATCACACCACCATTGCACCACCACAACACCCGTCCTTCATTTTTTTCCACCTTCTCCAGCCACCCCAATGCCCAACCAACAGCCACCCCACCGACCGTCGTACCTCACCAGACCTCCACGAACCCAAATCCAAACCCACGCCACCCTCAAGAACCACCAAGATCGAAACCCAGCCAAGCAACCCCACGAACCACGACCGAAACCTAACCACGCAACCCCATAAACCACGACCGAAATCCAAACCCACGTCCGGTGAGGTGCGGCAAAACCACGACCGAAACCTAGCCAAGCAACCCCACAAACCACGTCTAGTGAGGTGCGGCCTTTGGTTTTGGTGGAGGGGAGGGTTTTTTAAGGGTTATACGTGGGCGGGGGAAGGGTTTCCGGGTGGGAGGAGGGGCGGCGAGGGTCGGGGGAAGGCCGGCAAGTATTCGGCGAGGTGCAGCGGGTTCCGGCGAGGTGCTACTAGTCCCGGCAAGGTGGTTTAGGGTTAAGGGGTATGGTGGTGGTTGGGGAAAGGAATGAGAAAGGTAGGGGGGTGGGGAATGGGATTAGGAGGATTTTGGATAAACCCAAAAATAAAAAGGGGGAATGGAATGACAAAAGAGGGAAAATAAACACCAACAAAGGTAATCATTCCCATTTCCTCTCCCATTACAGCGAACCAAACGGCCCCTAAGGATATTCATTATATAATTATTTCCCTCGGATCAAGACATGGAAATTATTCATCTATATATATGGGTCGTTTAGGATAGATGAATGATTTATAGTAGCGTATTGTACATTACATTATGATAAATGACGATTTTAATTATGTGATTAAATAAAGTATAATGAAAATTGAAAATAACAAAAGATATGTTTGATAAAAGTAGTTGTTATATATTATGGCAGATCTCTTCGTAGCTAGTTGTCATTGTGTTATTAGTTTTTGTAAATGATATCACAATAGAATATTTGTCTTGGCTAATACTTCGTGCTAGATTTTGGATTAGTGTGAAGAATATAGTAAACTATTTTTCAGCTTCTAAATGCTACAAGTATATCTTTTAGATTCTACAAACTACCTCAACCATTATTTTTACCATTTAGTCCAATTTTGATCAAGTCAAATCAATACCTCCGATGTTTATTTAAAAAAAAAAAAACCAACTATTAGTAGATAGGTAATGATGTTTAATGTTTACACAAGTCTGAAGTTTAGTACTTAGAAATTTAGTACTTAGAAATTTTTTGAAAAATCTAAGTAAAAGGAGCAAGGCAAAAGGAAAAGAGAAAAAGAGAAGAAATTTAAACAAGTCTGGAAGTCTTGCCGAAGTCTTCAACATACACTCGTCTTCAGAATCTTCCTCTTCTTCGACTACTTCTACCCTCGGCCCAACAGTGGAAGTAGAAGGCTCAGCTCCGCTTTGGGAGGCCGCAGCGGCGATATTCTCGAGAGCGCTGACTATTTGAAGCCTCCTCGGATGCAGGGAAAGGGCCCGTTCCTTAGAATCAGTGATCTTCGGGGTGTTTGTGATCGGATTCCTTTTCTGGCTGATCCCAAGCACTTCGTAATCAACGCCCGAGTTTTCTTCGCACAGCTCTGAAAAATCAAGAAGACAATGGTTAGCTTGGCCGAAAGAACTACGCATCAGAAAGCTGAAAAAATAAGCAAAGTCAGGGCCCCAGCCGGATCCCTTACCGCCTTGGTACTTTCGGCTGAGGCCGAAAATAGCAAGACTCTTCTCTTGGAAGATATAATGGCAGCAAGGCAGCCAGATGGTTGGCACATTTTCCATTCGGCTTGTGGCCTCGGGCATTTGGCTTTGGCCAAAGAGCTTCATCTGCTTGTGATCAGCATTAGTGAACTCATCAGGACCGATGTTGAACATCTTAGGGTCTGGCTTCCTTAAGAATCGGGGGCCGCCGAAATAATTTGGATGATCCTCGTCTGACGGCGCCCGAATCCAGATCCACTGCCCTCTCCAATCCTTATCTGAAGTATCGTTCAAATAAGTCGAAAGGAAACCCCTTTCGTCCTCAATCTGCCACCAATCAGGGCCATGCCATTTATTGGACTGGGTGTTCAACATCAACTTGTGCGTGCAGCGAAAACAATGCACGCTCGGCTCAAGCCCGTAAAATAAGCAAACCCAGAGATAGGTCATTGTCCTTCGGATGCTTACAGGAGTCAACTGAGCCAGAGAAATGTTGTACCCATTCAACAACTTCACTACAAAGGCATGGGCAAGGAACCGAAGCCCGTACTGCAGCTGCCGAGTGTAACCCCCAATATATCCAGGTGGGGGACGATGAATTCTTTCCTTGGCAGAGGGCATTTAACACCAGTACCCGTCCTCCTCCATTATGCCATAGTAAACTTCAAGTTGCTCGGCAAAGCAGTACTTGGCGTCATTTTTGACCAACCATGCATAAGGCGCGACCGCCACTATTTCCGCATTCTCCTGAACATCGGTCCATTCCCTTTCCTCGGGAGTCAATGACCTAGATGTCGAAGTTGCACTTCGGCCAGAGGTACTGGCTTTCGCCGAGGCTCTGGGGGGGGCATGCTGGAAATGGGCACAACCCTCAGCGCAGCTCCCCTCGGGATAGCAGCAGCTCTAGTCCTGACTTTAGGGTTCTGACCGCTGAGAAATGGCGTCATCGCCAAAAGCCGATTCTGCCTTGGAATCAATTGCGGCATTTCCTCCTCCTCTTCCTCAACAACTGGTTTGGATTCCACTGGCCTCTTTCCTCGGTCACCGACCATTATTGAGCAAAGGAAGTGCGAGAAAACGCAAAAAATAGGGGTGTTCGAAAAAGCAAAGAAAACCGAAGAAATTTCAAAGAAAATTATCTTTATCAAGTGCGAAATTGCCGATCTTTAGGTGAAAGAGGATCAAGAAAATTACCTTTATCAAGTGCGAAAGAAATGAAGTGAAAGAGGATCGTGGTGCAAGTGGTTTAAATATTTTCCAGAAACAAGAATTTTGGGAGTCAGCGCCACTAAAAACCCCACTAATCCCACTTCAATTATCAATTGTTCATATCCCTCTCTAATAACTACCCGCTAATCTATCCAACTTCCCCATTACTCCAAAAAAAACGGTTATTAGC